GCTGAGTAATTGCAACCCTCTACGGACACCTTGGCAATTGAATCGCCATTGGCTAGTAATTTTTTTAGTTTACTCGCCAGACTGATGGGGGGGGGAATCTCATTATGAAATAAATGTTTTTCTCTAATACATGTTGGCCACTTACTGTGCGCCCCTATTTTTGAGCATTTTCTGAAAAACTACATACCCAAATAAAAATGTCTGTAGCTCTTGAACCCTATGGTCTATATTTATAAATCTGGTATTGTTTGAAACTAGACACTTGAACCTTTGTTACTCTGGAGTCATAACTCAAAATTAGTATAGCAACAGAGTAAAACAAGGTAAATTGTACATGAAAGTGACTCACAATATCTTTTAATGAAATTCACTGAGGGAAAAATGGATGAGGCTTTAATGCTAATGGCCTGAAAACACCATAAAGATAAAGCTGAATGTCTGACCATATTTTGATTCAAATTTGAAGATGATACTCCCAAAAATGTAGTTTCTGTAAACTTTTATTTAAAAAAAAAATCTAGGCGTTTTTTCAAAAAAGCCATTTGGAAACTCCAAATGGACACCTGGTAACCAAATGAGGCAAAACTACATAATGCATATATGTATATCAATTCAGAACTGCTCTGCCCACCATAACACACAAGAAAAAACTATTTCTGAACAGCATTTGTAGTGTTGACTCATTTGGTTACCAGGTGTCATACATACACACGCACGCACAAACACACATACTCAATATACATACATACATACACACTCACAAACATGCATGCACACATAAATCATGTAGCCCTCTCATATTTTCCCTCTTCGTTGTCATTTTTATAATCTAAAACAGCTAACATGAAACAAAAGCTGCAAACACACGATAAACACGTATAAACATTCAAGAGAACAGCGTTGAAACTTACGTGCTAATGCTATCCCTGCCTGCCATACATCTCTCCGGGTCTTTCTGTTGCTCTTCGCCACTGCTTCACATCACGCCTTCCAAAACACTTTCAAACACCACACAAACTCTTCTAAAGTCGATGTCCCATGATGGAGAGATTCAGATGTAAGCTTCGGAGAAAATCCGCTCGCGGATAAATACTCCGTGTAGCGCCGCGA